CCTGTGTCCGTTCGCCCTAATTCCTGTTCGCACTGAGTCCATTCGCCCTGATTTCTATTTTATTTTGTCGTCTTGTATAGTATAAATTATTTGCATTAATTATGTTAAAGTGTGTTGAAAATTTCGACGAATATTTATGTTGTATTGGTGCTACCAGATAATTATTTTTCTTTTGATTTGCATTAAATATTCTTGACAGAATATATTCATCATGTCAAATGTGGGCAGTATTTTGAAGAAGAAGAAAAGTTTTCAGAAACTGGAGACCAAGTTATCTGTATGGATTTATCTTTTTTGAAACCGTGTAACAATTTCAAAACAATCCAAACAGGTATAACAAATTCCAACTCACTCAACACCATGAGATCAAAGAAGCCAAGCGGCGAAAAAAATTTCCCTTTAATGTCTTACAATTCTTACATCATTGTTTTAACTCATTCCAAGCTGACTTGTTTATTTAAAAAAAAACAATTTCTTTATTAACCTTTTTGATTCTAGCGTCACTAGCTGAAGAGTGTTTTGAAGACGAAACGTAAACTTTTGTCTGGACTCTGGCGTACAAAATTTCAATCCTGGTATAGATTTATTATAAATGAGCTTATTTATAATCAAGCCATTAAAAGGCTATTATATCTATGTTAAAAGTAATTCTGAATAAAAACAATTGTAACAATGAAGCCAATCAGCCTGATTTATGCTCCAAAAAAAAAACCTTTTTTTTTTTTATTAACTTCCATGTTTATTCATGAATTTGGAGAGATATATTTTTTTTTTAATATTAACCATTTAATTATCTGAATAAGATTATAAAACCTTAAATTATACCATAAATATTTTTTTTTTAAATTAGGGCGAACATGTAATTAGGGCGAACGGACCCGATACCCAGGCCTACATATACGGACAATTAAGACAAGGCTTATAGGGAAGGGCCCTTAATAGTAAGTTTTGCCGGGATTTGTCTATGCATGCAGCTTTTTGTAAAACCTTTAGGGTTTTCAGCAAGAACTGGCACCCAGAAATAAAATATTTTACAACAGCTGATCTGCAATATCGTATAGTTGAAAATTAAATTTGTGTAGTTTTTAATTCCACTAAAGGAAAGAAAATTAGTTACATATATAAGTATTAAAATTTTTAAATAGGGCGTCACTGTCATTCATAATATTTCTATACGCTGACGTGGCTCCCCCCTTTTATTTAATTTTGAACTCCTTACTCCTCTGTTAAATATATTTGTGTCTGAGTTGATGTTGTCGGAATGTCTGTCCAATTTGCAGCATATAAAGATAGTCGTCATGAATGAAAAAGCTCGTCTCTTCATCAGTCAAGAGAGATAACTCTATAGGGTTATAAGGGGGCGTGTTTTTTTGTTCTTCGGTAGTGAGCCAGAAGAGGTCCATTTCTATTTTTTTGAATTAGGAAGATCTTCTGGCTCTCTTCCACCTCTTCTTTTTAAATAGGTGGTTTAGACGGCAGAGGCACAAAACAAACATGGCGTCGTTTAGTCTAAATGACATTAATAAATTCGTGATTGAAGATATATTAGAATGTGAGCTGTGTTATAAACGTTTTTATGGTATGACAGCCTTAGTAGGACATCTCTGTAGGACGATAAGCTGGGTGAATATAAGAACTACACGGACAATAACAGTTAAGGGACAACTATTTGAAATCCCTAGGGAAGGGATTTTGATTCATTGGTGTTTTACGCTACTTTCAACACTCATGATTGGGCTCAGTAGTAGTCAGTTTAAATCAATAGATGAGGAATTAATGAAGAAGGAAAGAGGGCATTATTATTCATTTTAATTTTTCGCTAATCATGCCTATTTTTTAGCTCTTACCAGGCAACAATATTCATATACGAAATCCTACTGTCCCCCATCCCAAAAAATAAATAAATATCAAATGGTTTTCTCTTATTAAACACAAGTTTAAATTGATCATGCTAATTTTTAACGCCCAGTGACAAATATTTCATGCATGTTCAGGAAAACACGAGATAAAAAAAGGTCGGATAAATTATATAAAAACGAAGAGATGTGATATGATTGCTAATGATGCAACTATCCTAATATGAAGTGGATGTAAGCAATTATAGGCAACCTTAAGGCCTTCAACACTGACGAAACCCGATGCTGTAAAGCCGTTTATAAAAGGCCATTAAAAGTGTGAAACAATTCAAACGATAAAACTAACGGCCTAATTATACAAAACAAAACAATTTACAAAATATCAAATATGAGTTGAGACATGAACCAACGACAACCACTAAACTACAGGCTCCTGACTTTGTGGACAGGTTCATAAAGAATATGGCAGGGTTTTATATAAAAACGAAGATGTGGTATGATTTCCAATGAGACAACTCTCCACAAGAGACCAATTGCTACAGAAATTACCAGCCATATGTCACAATACGGCTTTCAACAATAAACAAAGCCCATACCACATAGTGAGCTATAAAAAGCCCCGAAATCGCAAATGTAAAACAATTCAATGGTAAAAACTAACGGCCTAACTAATGTACAAAATAAAGTGAACGAAAAACAAATAAGTAACATAGCAACAAACGACAACCACTGACTTACAGGCTCCTGACTTGGGACAGGCACATACATACAGAATGTGGCGGCGTTAAACATGTTAGCAGGATCCCAACCATCCCCTACCTGGGACAGCGATGTAACAGTACAACAACTTGTTTGTGAGCGCTCAATCCTCCCCGAAGCTGAAACAGTAGTGTAGCAGTTCAATATAAGAACAACCTGCGCAAATCAGTTGCAATTAGATTAACTCAAAAGATCGGTACGGGACACACAAAAGAAACCGGCCAACTAATATAACATTAAGACAATAGACTCAAAGCATCGAACTAAGAGTATTTGCAATTACTAGAAGTTTGTTCAAAGCTAGTTGCAACTAGTACTGAAATAAATCTTGTTCTCCAAGACTTAAGTATCAATCAGTACACAACCAACTGATTTATTAAATAATAGTCTAAGAAACGTCTGTTATACGTTGTAAATACATTGGTGGCCTTCGGCTGTTGTCTGCTCTTTGGTCGGGTTGTTGTGTCTTTGACACATTCCCCATTTCCATTTTCAATTTTATTACATCTAGATCCATATACAGTAAAAAAAATTGAAAAGTGGTAGTCCGAAGGTTTTGACCATCGAAATTTTGCATTAGAAATAATAGTTAGGATCAGAAGATTTTCTTCAAGGACCGCCAGAGAAAAACGATTTTTTCGAACTTTCTGATATCTTGTTAATCCAGTTCGGTTACTTTAAAAAAAAATGGAAAGACTAAGATTTCCTTTTTGATCAGTCATATTCCAGACAAACATTGACGAATTCTTGTGCAGTTTAAGATTATTCTTAAAAATCAAATAGTGGGGGTTAAGCCTGATTTGTTTAGCAAAATTGAGTTAAAGGAAAGCATAAAGAAAATTGCAACGAACAAGAGAACACTTTTACAGTCATGTCTACTGGACGTATATTCATTTTCTAAAAAAATCGTAAACTTAATTTATATCATCCAACATAACAGAAACCTGCTATATTCGACGGCAAATTGCATTTTTATTTTATTGATCTTCCATAGAATATCTCCAGAAGAGGTCCAGATTCATTTTTTTGGACTCTTCACCAGAAGACATTCTGGAGATGTACCGAAGAGACCAATAAAACACGCCCAGGGAAAATATCTTGCATTTGTTATAACAGATACTTTTATGAGTTGTCTACTCTTTATTCCTTAAATTTTCTAAATCTGTAGTAACATATGTTTGTTATTTGTTAAATAAATCATACATATTTTAATTTTTAGTGGGCACTTGGGAATTCTTGAAACTTTGCGCAGAAACTAAATACATAGCCTTGTTAACTAATTTTCAAATTAAATTAATACATTTTTCATCAACCATGGTAAATCAATAAGACAAGGCTTTTAAGGGATAAACTTAGCTGTAATAACAACGCTTAGTTATTAAAGGCATGTAACTTATTTTATCTTACCTCCTATACATTTCTAGGAATGTGATTGGTTAAAAGCGCCCTCGTGGAGACTGTGTATATTTCATATTAGGTTAGTAAGGAGGCGGGCTTATCTCATACACGGTTAGTATAAGTGTTGCGTCCCTTTATATTCCTTATAAGGTAGTAGGGAGGCGGGGCTTATTTCATACACGGTTAGTAGTGGTGTTTTGTGCAGGTAGCACAAAAACATTTTATTGATATTTTTAAAATATATTGCAAAATGTCACAAAAATATCATTCAGAAATATTGTTTTGAAGTGAAATGTATGGCTGTACTAATGTGAATAGCATATTTTCAGCTGATATTTGTTCTGAATGTTTAAAGAACATTTTTTTTTAAATATTTTGATTTTATATTTAAATAACATAACTTTGATATCATTCAGTGTCAATTGAAAATATCCAGACAAGATATATATCAAACGTTATCCAAAAATATCCTTTTCATGTCTAAAATATGTTTTATGGATGTCTACCAAATGTTTTAAAATATCAGAGGCAAGTTTAGGTAGAAATATCTCTTGAAAATGTAAATTAAATATTTCAACAATGTTTTATGGATGTCTTCCCAATATTCTTAAAACATCTTGGTTAAATGTTTGTAAAAAACATTATATAAATATTCAAAAAACGTTTTATGTTCAGGCCAACTCTCAGCTTGCAAATATATCATGCATATTTAGACTAACATTTATCAGCTCTCCTCCAGGGCACCTGTTTCTTGTTCTATCATTATATGTAGTGTAATGTAGACTGTTTATTTTTTTTTTGTTTTGCAATGCGATTGTTTTTCTCCGACTTGTGGAAATTTGAATTTTTGATTGATATTTTTCAAACTCTTTCAAACAATTAAGAGCAGTCAAAGCATGACATTGTATACTGCCAACACAAAAGCATTGATAGAATAGCATATTCATATGACAGGACGACTGTCAATGAATATTGAATTTTCCTGAATAGCATTTTAACATTTTATTAATTATTCAGAGTCTGCATCTTCTACTGCGAGCCTCCTCTTCTTGTTAGCCTTCTGAAGAAGAAATAATACTTTAAACTCAATTGAGATTTAAGCTTTTAAGCCGATATCAAGTCAAACATTATGAAAAAAAAATAGTATTATAATAATTAGATTACAGGTATGCCGTTATTTTGATTATGATATAGATTCAGGAAACAGAACTATATCCAAAAACGTTCTAACTAAATAAAGAATACAAAGTCAAATCTAAATCAAAGTGACACTTAGCATTGACAGTAATATTAAACATGTTATGCATATATATCTGCGAATTTCAAATCCGATGTAGCAGAAAGGATGGCTATTATGTTACTTACTTAAAGTAATTCATTCTGGGCTATCAAATGGTAGAATGCATTTTGTCCCATCTCCATTTCCATGCATTTTGAAGCCATAATATTTTCAATGATTATTAAAATTCCTTTTGCACTCTGCTTTAATTTGTCTTCTGTAGTTCTCAAATACCAGATCTATAAATTTATACGAGAATGTAAAAATGTATATTAAAAAGAAACGAACTCTACTTCAAGTAATTTATACACGAATCTGTCTGCAAATTTGTATAGACTTTTTCCGTATGATATTTTTTTCACATTTTACCCCCTTTTTCACATATACATGCCATTTCGTTTTGTTTAAAATATATCTTTTTCACTTTTCCATGATATCCTAATGTTTAATTATAACACTGCATACATATAATTTAAAGAAGTAGCGTCTTCAACTTTTTGTGATATTTACTCCTACAAACTATTCAAATACAGATTTTGTGTTGCCAAAGTTTTGCCGAGGACAAAAAAACAAGATTCAGTCGAGTCCGTATATCAATTACGATTTTTTAAAATTACAACTTACGTGTTTTTTCTCTTTGAACTGTGATTTTCTCTTTTAGTTTTCTTTGTTTTCACTGCTTTCGGAAGTTAGAAATAGACGACAGGAAATAACCTCAAAAATGACCATCCCATTACATTTAGATTTTCTATAATCTTAATTACCATAGCAACTATCTTTGAAATGTGTCCAACATCTGGTTAACCTTATCAGAATGTGTTTGATTAACAGAATGGTTGTATCAAATATCACTCCGTATATTTTTGTTTATTATGTTTCATCAATTAAAGTTGAACGAAAAAAGTTATAATAATACACGATTGAAATGTTCCTCAAAGGTTAAAATTATCAAGGAGATTATCTCATATAACCTCTTTGGAATTATTAAAGCTCTTCTATAAAAATGAGGAGTCATTCATGTTAATGTGATATCTAAAAAATATTTAACACTTGCTTCACTCAAATATTACTAACAAACATTTGACAAACATTTCTGTCATACATCTTACAAATATCTAGAAGACATATTATGTTAAAATGTTTATAAAAGGGTCTTCAACTAATATTTTCTAAATAAAATCGAAAAAATATTTTGTTAAGACGTTATTTAAATATTCATTAGATATTACCAGCTTATATTTTTATTTAGGACAAGAAAATTATTAAGATGTTACATCAAAAAGATATTTTATTATACATCAAACCTATGCTTAACGCAGATATTAATCAAAAATGTTTTATAAACATTTCTTTTACACATCTTACAAATATATATTATAATTATAATATAAAAATGTCCATCAGATATTGTTTTAATATTGTAAAGAAATATTTCGTCGACATAAAACTGTTCTCATTTATAAAACTGTCCTTTAAACGTTTAAAAAACATCAGCAAAAAATATTTATTTATTTATTATAAAAAAATATTTACAAAAAATGTTTTTATATTTGCAATCAAACATTGGGATGAAATGTTATTAGTAAAATATCATTCACACCTAATTTCTGATGTAAACAAAATGTCTTTAAAATATTTTTGTGAAAATATTTCTGATAAACATATATACAACCAGTCAATAATATCATGAAAATATTTTGTGTTAGCTGGGATATAATTATCTCATACACGGTTAGTATAAGTGTTGCGTCCCTTTATATTCCTTATAAGGTAGTAGGGAGGCGGGGCATTTTTCATACACGGTTAGTAGTGGTGTTACGTCCCTTTATAAAAACAAAACGGTACTGAGAAACAATCGTAAAGGTTTCAACAGACGAAGAAAGTGATGATTAAGATTGAAATTAATTCATAAAACACATTTAAACCTAACAATTTGTTATTGTTGGTATCTGTTTTTGTAGGATCAATGGAAGTAGTTTCTTAATGCTAACAGTATTGAAGACTTGCTCATTTGATAGGTCACTAGTCTAAATTTCACACGTTAAGATAGTCGGTAAGATAAATTCATTACATAGTGTGCTAGTGACTCACCCCATATGGAATTTACTGACCCCATATATACTGTATTAGGTCACTAGCACACTATGTAACTAATAATATGAGACACTTGGGAATTACTGGGAAGCTTGCGAAGAACCTCATTACATGCTCTGATCATTATTTCTTACTATAAATTAAAATACAGTTCCTAAAGCTAACGATAATCATATTATTACTTACAAAACTCATTTCTGACTTGAAATTTTTTTTTTATTATCTGGAATCCCTTTATAAGTGGTCTATTAATAAATACATGAAATAGATCACCTTTTCCTTTCATAAATTTGTGATAAATTGGCCTTCCCTACATATTTACTGCGCATGGACGAAATTACCAGACAAATACAATTCTGATAAAAACACGGATGACCATCTTGTTTTGTTGATTTTAAAATTTATTTCAGATATTTTTGGGGAAATGAGATAAACTGCTCAAAGTTGATTTGTCAGTGAATCAATTTATATTAAATTTGATAAAATTTGTATATAATTAAGCAGAAATACATACGATCAAAGCCTTATTTGGGCGGATTTACCAGATTGCATCGTAGATAAAACCCTAAAACAGTCGAATTCTAGTCATTTTGGCACCTGGTTAAATGGGAACCTTGTCAAATCGGAACCTGAGCACACGAGATAGTTATTTCGGCACCCATAATTAATCATGTTTTGTAAGTAAAAGACTTTTTTCGTGATTTTTTTAATATTATCACTCGAGTAGTCAACGTTTATTTGTTGCGTATAACAGATGTTCCAATAAGCTATTCCAGATATAATCCATACCCCCTCCCTATAGAAGGTACAAGTGGTTTGGGAAAAAATCTATGGAAAATTTTCAATATGGTTAAGAAAAAAATATTTCTTCCTTTGGAACTTATATAATGAAGGAACATCTATCATTTGTCTATAGACAGGTTTTTCTAATTATCTGCCTTAGTTTGTGACATGACTCCTAGGTGTCGTCGTAGTAGCGGACGCCATTACAACCGTGAAAAAAAATATAAACAAGAAATACATCAATTTCCCATGCAGACCGCATATAATTAACGTAATCATGGTAATTATTTGTTAAATAAATCATAAATATTTTAATTTTCAGTGGGCACTTGGGAATTCTTGAAACTTTGCGCAGAAACTAAATACATAGCCTCGATAACTAATTTTCAAATTAAATTAATACATTTTTCATCAACCATGGTAAATCAATGAGACAAGGCTTTTAATATGTTTAAGGGATAAACTTAGCTCTAATAACAAGGCTTAGTTATTAAAGGCATGTAACTTATTGTATATATAAGACACTTGGGAATTACTGGGAAGCTTGCACAGAACCTCATTACATGCTCTAAACATTATTTCTTACTATAGATTAAAATACATTCTGATTAAGCATGATAAAATTGAGAATGGAAATGGGGAATGTGTCAAAGAGACAACAACTCGACCATAGAGCAGACAACAGCCGAAGGCCACCAATGGGTCTTCAATGCAGCGAGAAACTCCCTCACCCGGAGGCGTCCTTCAGCTGGCCCCTAAACAAATATGTATACTAGTTCAGTGATAATGGACGTCATACTAAACTCCAAATTATACACAAGAAACTAAAATTAAAAATGATACAAGACTAACAAAGGCCAGAGGCTCCTGACTTGGGACAGGCGCAAAATTGCGGCGGGGTTAATGTATTTTGAGCCGGGCTTTGAAGTGATGTAGAGAAACTGTAATAACACTTTTTATACGACCGCAAAAAAATGTTTGTGGTCGTATATTGGTATGACGTTGGCGTCGTCGTTGTCGTCGTCGTCGTCGTCGTCGTCTGGCGTCGTCCGGCGTCGTCCGAAGACACATTGGTTTTCGCACTCTAACTTTAGTTTAAGTGAATGGATCTCTATGACATTTTACCACAAGGTTCAATACCACAAAAGGAAGGTTGGGATTGATTTTGGGGGTTATGGTACCAACAGTAAAGGAAAAAGGGGCCAAAAATAAGCATTTTTGTAACTTCCAGACATAACTTCTGTGTTAGTGTATGGATCTCTCTGATATTGTACCACAAGGTTCCATATCACAAAAAGAATGCTAGGATTGATTTTGGGGGTAATTGCCTCAAAATTTTAAGAATTAGGGGCCAAAAAAGGGGCAAAAAACATGCATTTTTCTAGTTTCATGACAATAACTTGTGTGTAAGTGTATGGATCTTTCTGAAATTGTACTACAAGGTTCCATATCACAAAGAGAAAGCTGGAATTGAGTTTGGGGGTAATTGCCGAAACGTTTAGGAATTGGGGGCCAAAAAGGGGCCAAAAAAAAAGGATTTTTCTAGTTTCCAGACAATAACTTGTGTTCAAGTGTATGGATCTCTCTGAAATTGTACTGCCAGGTACCATACCACAAAGGGAAGGCTGGGATTGATGATGGGGGTAATTGCCTCAAAATTTTAGGAATTAGGGGCCCAAAAGGGGCAAAAAACAAGCATTTTTCTAGTTTCAGGACAATAACTTGTGTGTAAGTGTATGGATCTTTCTGAAATTGTACTACAAGGTTCCATATCACTACTGGAAAGCTGGGTTTGAGTTTGGGGGTAATTGCCCTAAACGTTTAGGAATTTGGGGCCAAAAAGGGGCCAAAAAACACATTTTTCTAGTTTCCAGACAATAACTTGTGTTCAAGTGTATGGATCTCTCTGAAATTGTACTGCAAGGTACCATACCACAAAGGGAAGGCTGGGATTGAGTTTTGGGGAGATGAATCATAAGGGGGTTCAAAAAAATTTGGGGGGGATTTTTTTTTTTTCCTTTTTTTTCTTTTTTTCCCTTTTTTTTCTTTTAAAATTTTCCATTTTAAGTTGGTTATTTCTGATTTATATTTAAAAGCAAATATTAATGATATGGTAGGAGATACACACCAAACAGGATGTGTAAATTATTATATAATAAGTATTGTGCAATAGCAAGAAATTTTCAATTGCACAGTATTGCACAATAGCAAGAAATCTTCAATTGCACAGTATTGCGCAATAGCAAGAAATCTTCAATTGTACAGTATTGCGCAATAGCAAGAAATATTTAATTGCACAGTATTGTGCAAAAGAAGATACTTCGTATAAATTGCTTATTTCTTGACCAATTTCAATGGGGTTTTATTCT